TACGCATGTCACCGGATAGGTTTCCACGGCGATCGATGTTCGCCGAGGCAGCTAGCGAATGGAAGAAAGTCAAGGGTGGTCAAGCTAAGACCTGTAATGAGGGTATTAAAACCCTAACCAGGAGTCTCGGTCACATAGTTCCCGTTGGGCTCCCTGGCTGGGGACCTCGGGATGGTCATACCCGATGTTTAGGGACACCGAGTGATATGACTGGGTGTCGTAAACAGTGACGCTCTGCAAAATTAGTGCAATGAAATTCTAAATTTTCTCTTCGATCCTACTTTCAACCTTTCCTGTCTTTCTCCTTGTTCATCCAAATGGGCAGTCGAAAGACAGCAACCAAAGCCGGCGCACGATTGTGCATGGTTAATAGTTGTAGAAACTGAAACTGTGTGTGTGTATGCGAAAATTTGAACGTGGTCTGGGAGGACAGCCAACAGGTGTTCCATAGGCCACTGGAAAAAATAAAGACGGAAGGATGGAAGCATTACACAATATACGAGGAACAAAATCTCCAATCGGTTGAATAACCGCCTGGGTGTGGAATTTTTGAGTTCGACATGCGTTTTGCATCGTCGAATTATGAAATGTTGCACGATGGGTTTGGCCTCGCCCCTAACCTAAGTCTAACCGGCGAAGTAGTAGAGGATGTAGACCAATTTTTGCTGATGAATGCATCATCTATCATTTTTCGGCACGCATACAAGAGGCTCGATTGGTGGCGGAGGCATAGTCGCTGTCACCGGCGTGCTTCGGACCTTACGGTCCGAGGTTTGCACCCCGCCACCTGACTTTGGTGGTAGGCAGCTTTGCTGTCGTCTGGCTTAATGCCACCCTTAACCTAGCGGGGCCACTAAAACGGAATTATTTTGGGTGAGCCAAGAAGAGACTCTGAAACTGTGGAATACGAGGGACTAAATCAAAATTCTAATGTGGACGCGTTGAAATCGACATGATTATGATGCGATAAATTTGGTGGATGAAACGTAAAACAATGGTTTTGTCGGTAATCCGTTGTCATCCTGATGGTTCTTACTGAACTGGTACGCTGATGGATACATTGGAACTGAAAACGCATGATGCGCTTCACCAAATGGAAACTGCCTCTCACGTTGAGAAAAACCCGTATGGTCCATCTGATGTATGTTCTTTGCTCAATAATAGGCCTACTCATGAGTAGTCACTTGGTGAAATGATATTTTCACACTCAATTTCGAACGCCGTTTGGGTGATAGGATTTCCTTAACAAAAGCTTTGACCCCCACTTATCTCCGTCCAGATTTTTAGACTATCTTCGGATCTGTATGCACAATCTTCACAATTTTTGAACATCCAACCATTATGAAAAACCGCCCTACGAAATGTCATTAAAATACTTTCTGTTTTGTTGGAAGTATATAGCAAAAGCATGGTTCTCCCCGACAAAGTATTGCCCATTGAAACCAGTTCAATATCGAGTGCGTCGACCATTTCATATAAAAACTTCCACACATACTTCGGCAATGTCTATAGGAGATTTCTAATAATGTCACCGTCGACAATATTTCAAGGTTGTTTTCAATCCGTGTTTTGAGGTGTAAACTCTTACTTCCTGATGTACCCGTCAGGGAAGGTTGGCCCAATTTTTCTCTATCGGATTCAGATCTCGGGCTGGACGCAGACCGCGCCAGAAATATGATTTATTAGTGTAGCATGCAGGGCCTTTTTTTAACATCAGTGTGTAATGAATAGCAAACATGGCGGACCCCATAGTCACGAAGACCTGCCGGTGACGTAACCCCCGGGTCTTGGAGTGGTGAACCGCATAAGACCCCGCTATGTCAGGCGTGGTATAAAGCCGGACGATAGTAAAGCTGCCAAAGTTGGATGGTGGTGACGGGGCTCGGACCATAGAGTCCAGAGCACACCCGTGACAGCAACTAAACCACTGCGCCAACAGCGCACACAGTGGAAGGAGGTTGACTTCGGGCAATGCTGTCCGTACTCCTGTACCACTAGCGTCGTCCCTGGTCACCCAACGACGCTCTCAGTGCACAGTTGGACGTACCTCTGACAGTAGATTCTCTGTGTTGGAAGCTTCCAAGCAATCTGGAAGACAGGGAAAATACAAAAAGCAATCATGAACCAAAAGGTCCAGTGAGACATGCATACGACTCACACTTTTTCAACAATACCTGCGCCCGTGCCTTCAATACATTAGATGGTTGTAAACCGCGGCATTATCATGCTGAAAAATGGCTTCAGTATGACCATTCGATGTCATTGCTGGCATAGAGTGCTACTCTAATGTACGAATATGTGCATCCGAATCTGGGAACGCACGTAGAATGACGAGTTCGGTTTGACCGTTGCCCAGGAATCTAACCCATATCATCACAAACTGGAGCATGTTTTGTATTTCCTGATGTGGAGGTAGAGCAAATATTGGGGGGTCATCATATTATTACCTGTCGGGAGGGGACGGTGTTTCATTTGTCCAATCTGCCATGTCCCTGTTAGATACTGTTGATACTGTTGTGACATTCTCTCAAGATTTCTCTCTCTTTATCTGTATGTATATTCGCTTGATTGTTCGATTAGATGAGTTACCAACACGGCAACAATGGTAACTGATCGAGTACACCAAGTGCAAAGTCAGTTTGATTTGCCACTTATTCTACTGTGAGGGGTGAGCTGCAGAATAGATCAACTTGCTCGCCGAGGAGACCTATCGTTCATTTTAGTGATAAGCGATTGCGCGGTCGTTCGGCTAGTCTATCCGGGCCTTCACTACTCGAAGTTTCAGGGTATAGGTTGCCGTTTCATACAATTAAGCAGTATACTCCCGTGATCTTAAAGTCCCTCCCCCCTCCCGTCTGCGATTCATCACACAATGGTGTGATAATTAACACCTAAGCTCTAGGAGAGTCACATACGGGCCTAATGGATTTGGCGTGCTGTTGTGCGGGACAACTTCTAAGGTATGATGCAGGGATTTCGAACCTTGAACCCTGTGGGCCAGTGGCGGTAAACCGTCTTAGCAATCTCCACCCAACCGCACGGAACTGTGTAAGACGTATTTCGTTCGGCATAGGTTTAGACGTTTTTCTTCGTATATCGCTCTTTCTGAGTGGACTTTTAGAACTGGTATCATTGAAAGGTTGTCGGTGATCAGTTCTGATTCATAGTTATTCCAATCAGTCTTATTGAAATTTGATGACTTCCTTAATGTGTGATAGATCAGTGCTCATTTTTCATCTCAGTAGACGAAAATAGTGATGAATCAACACATCGAAGATGGTTCTGTTGAAAGAAATATTCATTGAATTTCTCACTTGTGATCTGTTCCTCATCGTTACCCCTCCCCCCGCATGCATGCATGCGTTCATTGTAGTCAGGCGTGCACAAAAGTGATTCAATTACTTATCACGGATTGGCTCTGAATTGCACAGACGAACCGCTCGACTGGTTCCGGCGTGTCGTACCATGCGGTCTAGTCGGACGCGATGTGATCTCGTTGAGTGCTGCCTGCCAACGTCCTGTCCCTGTGACCGAGGTGGTCCCGCTCATGTGTGACGCGTTGTTGGACGCATTTTTCGGTCCGCCTGATCCGGTCCGTGCTGATCCTCTACCAGTGTCCCATTGCCGGAACTTGGCAACAGAGCACTGGTCTGTCCGCGAACGGACTTCAGCCAAAACGTGGACAGAGGTGACACAAGACGAGCTTATCGATGCGGTGTTGGTCGATATTCGTCAACGCAGCCAGAGCGCCAGTCAATCTTAATTCTATTCTACTAACTTATTGATTTTTATATAGATGAATACATATATGATTTTTCCCTCTGTATTCTTTTTGTTTTGGGCTTTTACTGCACTTGGCCGAACAAATACGCGCGCTCAAACACGGACAATTTGTTTTAGGTTTGCGTTATCACTGCTAAAAGGTTTACGATACACCTATCCCGAAGTTAATCCGTAGGGGGAATGGATTGGTCTCAACTGGACAGGCGAGTGTGGCTCGCGTAGTAGTCTCGACGTTCTCGAACCACGGATCATGAACGTTCTGGCCGGATCAATCGGTCTTTAGTGAGCCAGCAAGGAATAGGGCCATTGGCTTGGACAGTGACTGTATTGATCATTGAATGCTTGTGATAAGTAACGGGTAAAGCGATTGCGGTTCAGATTATCCACACAAAAGAGAGCTGAACGTATGTAGTTCATCCTCTGACCTGTATTCCGTCCGGTGCACCCAAATACGAAGTTGGGAGAATCATCTTGGTGAATCCGGTTTCAACCGCTTGCTCATTGCTCCACTTGTGTCATCTGCAGCGGTTATCAAATAAATAATCTCATAAATTTGCGGATGTGCAACTCTCGTTGTTTTAAGGTTTGCACAAAAGCTTTTCCATATCGGAGTCTTCTCTTTCAATATAGAAAATGGTAGACATCCAGCGAGCGATGGTTTCAACATAAACACCTCCAAAATGGGGCCTGGTTACTGAAGTGCACAAGCATAATTGACGTGTATGTGGCTGTTTATCTGGCAGGATTTCCCGGAAGAGGTAAAGTGTTTATTGGCAACAAATAGGCAATACAACCTGTATACAGCGCAGCTTTGATCGACTGACTCAATACTGAATAATCTTCAATCCCCTCAAACCACTTGATGACTGGAATCCGATGTAACAAGTGAGGTCACAACACAGGACTAGATCAAGGTGTGTGTGTGTGTGTGATCGCAAACATGGAACCCCTAGACGCCGGATCTCATTGGAGTTATTGTCATTATATGAATACCACGTCAGATCTTGTTTATTAGGATATTTAAGATATTTCCAAGAGCGCACGATTGAAATAATGAGACGAACAATGTGACATTGACTATGGTCGGAGGCGGGTGTCTCAGGTTGTGGCACCTCGTGAAATGCTCATATACAATCAGGTGTCTCAAGTAGCTTCTACTAAGGAAGCCCCACTCACTGCCTTTCTGTGGTGGAAGCGTTTCCTCATTAAAGTGAGGACGACAAGTTAAATCTTGGTTCAAA